AAAGGGGAAATCAACCGGGAAAAGGGGGGAGAAACCAGGAAAAGGGGAAATCAAGGTGGGAAAAGGGGGGAGAAACCGGGAAAAGGGGAAATCAAGGTGGGAAAAAGGGGGGAGAAATGGGGATAAAAAGGAAATCAAGGTGGGAAAAAAGGAAATCATCGTGGGAAAAGGGGGGAGAAACCGGGAAAAGGGGAAATCAACGTGGGAAAAGGGGGGAGAAAATGGGAAAAGGGGAAATCAAGGTGGGAAAAGGGGCATCGGCTCCCCTGGCGCCGGGAATTTCCAGAGGCTCCTCCAGCCCTGGAGCTGCTCGAGGGGGTTTGAGCTCTGGCAGCCCCTCTGGACAGGGATGGAGCTGCTTCCCGATGGGATTTGGGCACCAGGGGTGTCCCCAGGGATCAGGGCTGGGATGGAGCTGCATTCCAATGGGATTTGGGCACCAGGGGTGTCCCCAGGGATCAGGGCTGGGATGGAGCTGCATTCCAATGGGATTTGGGCACCAGGGGTGTCCCCGGGGATGGGGATGGAGCTGCATTCCAGTGGGATTTGGGCACCAGGGCTGTTCCCAGGGATCAGGGCCGGGCCCAACCCCATTTAAAGTCCCTGCTGATGGTCGGGACGAGGGGATGGATCCACCATCAGCGCATTTGTGATGACACCAAGCGGGGGGGGTGTTGATGGGCTGGAAGGCAGGAGGGCTCTGGACAGGCTGGATCCATGGGCTGATCCCAAGAAGATGAGGCTCAACCAGACCAAGTGCCAGATCCCGCCTGGCTGCCAGGGCAGCCCCCCGGGCTGGGGACAGAGGGGCTGGAGAGCAGCCAGGCAGGAAGGGAGCTGGGAATTGGGATGGCCAGGAAGCTGAACAGGAGCCAGAGGGTGCCCAGGGGGGCCAGGGGATCCTGGCCTGGCTCGGGATCAGCGGCAGCAGGAGCAGGGAAGGGATCCTGTCCCTGTGAGGCCACCCCTGTGCCCAGCTCTGGCCCCTCAGCTCGGGAAGGACACGGAGGGGCTGGGGCAGGTCCAGGGAAGAGCAGCGAGGCTGGGGAAGGGGCTGGAGCGCAATTCCCACCAGGAGAGGCTGAGGGAGCTGGGGGGGCTCAGCCTGGACAGGAGGAGGCTCAGGGGAGACCTCAACCCTTTCCATGGAGAGGGATCAGCCCTTGGAAAGGGGCTGCCCTGGCCAGGGAGGGGGTGGCTTCCCCGTCCCTGGGGGTGTTTAAGGACAGGCTGGATGTGACCTCAGGGCTGGGAACCAGGGCGGGCTTGGACTGGATGATTTTGGGGGTCCTTCCCAACCTGGCTGATTCCATGATTCCATGATTCTCTGATCAGCAGGGAAGAGGAGCAGCATTTGGGGGATTTCCTGCGGATTTGTGTCCCTCTGGGGCTTCTCAAAGAGGTGACAAAGGGGTGACAAAGAAGCCGTGGCTGCTCCTGGATCCCTGGCAGTGCCCAAGGCCACGCTGGACGGGGCTTGGATCATCCTGGGCTGATGGAAGGTGGCACTGGACGAGTTTAAATCGGGCTGTGATTCCACGATTCCTGCACAGTCACCTTCCCCTCCCCGCATCAATCACCCCCATCCTGCCTTTCCCCGATCCCTCATTCCCAGCTGGCTCCCATCCCGCCGCTTCCTTCCTCCGAGCCCGCCCCGAGGTAATTAAGCACCTAATGAGAGGCGGCAGACGCCGCTCGCTCATCCCGACTTTCCTCGCTCTCCTGCACTTTGGAATGAGCTCAAGGGCCATTCCCGCTCCGGGACGGCAGTGATCCAGGCTCCTGATCCAGAATCCCACAGAACCCGGCGCTGGAAACGGATTCCCAGGGGTTTAGGATCCATTTTCCATTTCCGGTGGTTCATCAGCCTGGAGAAAAGGAGGGATTGGGGAGGGGGGGACCTTCTGGCTCCCCACAACCCCCTGCCAGGAGGGGGGATGTCCCCAATTCCCAGGGAACGAGGGCCAGGAGGAGAGGGAACGGCCCCCAGCTGGGCCAGGGGAGGGGCAGGTGGGATATCGGGAACAATTCCGTCCTGGAAAGGGTGATTAAACATTGGAATGAACCTCCCAGGGCAGGGCTGGATCCCCCGTCCCTGCAGGGATTCCCAATCCCCGGGGATGCGGCCCTTGGGAACGCGGGGGGTGGTTGGACTGGGCGGTCTCAAAGGGCTTTTCCAACCCCTGTAATTCCTTCATTCCACGGTCTGTGAAGGTTCCAACCCCACTGCTCTCCCCCCCGTTTCCCCGGTCAGAACCTCCTGCGGCTGGGGAGGGACGGGAGGGAAAGGAGGGGAAAGGAGGGGAGGGGAGAAGTGGAAAGGGGAGAGGGAGAGGAGAGGGAAGGGCAGGGAAAGGAGGAGGAGGAGGAGGAGGAGGAGGAGAGAGGCGGCCCAGCTGTTGAATAATTCAGCGCTGGGAAGGGGGGAAGCTCCGCACCGGGCTCCGAGCACCGCACCGGGCTCCGGAGCGCGGCGGGGACAGCGGCACCAAACCGGGAACGGCACCGGGAACCGGGCACCGAACCGGGCACAGCTCCGGGAGCCGAACCGGGAACCGAACCGGGAACCGGGCACCGAAACCGGGAACCGGGAGCCTGAACCGGGCACCGAACCCGGCACAGCTCCGGGAGCCGAACCGGGAACCAGGCACCGAAACCGGGCACCGAACGGGCTCATCCCACCGGGAACCGAACCGAGCCCCGGGATTCGGGCCCCGAGCCGCAGGATCCGGGCCTCGCCGCGGGCCCCGCGCACCGAGCAGCGTTCCCAGCCCCGGCCCGGCCCCTCCTGAACCCCCCGATCCCCCCCCGACCCCCGGCATGGCCCTGCAGCTTCACCTCCGCTCCGTGTCGGGGCTGCGCGGCAGAGCCGACCGCATCGCCAAGGCCGCCTTCCGAGGTACGGGGGGGCTCGGGGGGGGGATTTTGGGGGGTCCCTGACCCCCCCTCAGCTCCCCCCGGCCCGGGGGATCCATCCCGGTGAAGCCCCGGGAATGAGGGGGGGAATTCCCGGTGGGCCGGGGGGAGCTCCCGCCGCTCTGGGGGGGGGGTGGCGAGCGGGGCCACCAAATGTCCCCGGGGGGGCTCGGGGCGAGCCCGCCCCTCAACCGAGACCCCGCATTGTCCAGGGAGACGCTGCGGCTCCAAAGCTTTTTTTTTCCCGGGAAAGCTGCGAGAGGAGCAAAAGCTCTCCGGGGGTTTTGGCCTCTCGGCGGCTCCCACGGCTTTCCAGACCCCCTTGATTGTTGGGACAGGTCGGGGTGGGATCCCAGAGTGGCGCTGGATCCCCCCTCGGGGGGGAGGGGGGGGGGGGTCCGAGGCAGAGGCGGGTGCGGGATGAGGTCGGGAATGGCAATTCCAGCCCCGGGAGAGCGAGGGAACAGGTAATTCCAGCGCCACCGAGCCGGCACTGCCTGGAACAGCCCCCGGGCTGGCTGGAACTGCCGGGGAGGTCGTGGAAAAGGGACAATTAACCCTCATTTCCCTGTCCTGCCTCCCAGGGGCAGCAACATTCCCGGCTAACTGGGAGCAGTCCCAGCCCTGAGCCCCCTCCTCAATCCCTGATGGTGGGGGGAAGGAAAGGCCACCGTGGGTTTTCCCAGCGGGAGATTTCCCGGATTTCCAGTTCCGAACGTTCCTGGCCCCGAGTCCGACACAGAATTCCTGCGGGACGGGCAGGATCCATCCCGGCTTTGGCGTCTTCACGGGGCGAGGGGGAAGATCCCAGTGCCAGAGGGGGACTGGGAAGGGATTCCCGGCTGGGCTGGAATTCCCAGGGAAGCTGTGGCTGCCCCTGGATGATCCCTGCAGTGTCCCAGGCCGGGTTGGATCCCCTGGGACAGCGGGAGGTGTCCCTGCCCGTGGATACAAATCCAGGTCCATCCCAACCCAACCCAACCATTCCAGGATTCCGTGACCCCAGAGCTCCCGTTTGGACGCGAGGAGACAAATCCATGACAAATCCCAGGCTCTGCACCCCCAAAATGACCCTGCAGGGAGTAAATTTCCCTATAAAATTCCACCACCACCCCCCCCCTCAGGGCGGAGGCTTTTCCAGGACAGCTCCATCTCCCCGCACATTCCCGCACATTCCCGCTGCTCCCGCGGGGGGTGCTGGCTCAGCTCGGGTGGGAGATCCTGGAGAGGAGCATTCCCGAGGCTGACAGAGCCGCGTGGGACGGCGAGGCAGGGACGCTGCTCCCCCTTCTCCCGGGAATTCTGGTGCTCCCGGGGACGCCGCTGGTGCTGGCAGAGGGAATTCCGGACCCCCGGGAGCAGCCCCAGGGAATGGGGAGCTTATCCCGCCCTGGGAAAGGCGGGATCTCCCCCTGCACGGGGACCGAAATCCCTTTTCCCACCCCGGAATAGCCGGGATTCTTCTCCCAGCACGGCGTGGGATCGGACTCCCGGAATTCCCAAGGGATCCTCCAGCCCTGGGAGGGTGGGAAGGGCTTGAGTTTCACCTTTGGGGCTCTCCCAGGAGATCTGGGAATGGTTTGGGATCTCGGTGGTGCCGCAGCGGCTCCAAAAGGTTCTGAATCCCTGGATCGGTTGTGGTTGGAGCCAAACCAGGGGATGGGGTTTCCAGAAATTCCCAGGGATTTCCTGGGAATACTCGGTTTTCCAAGGGTCTGGCTTCAGGGGGAAAGCAGGAAAATGGTGGAATTCCCGTGTCCAGCCCGTTTTGGGGGCGCTCCTGGGGCCTGGCAGGGTCTGAGCTTCCAGAGTCCCTTTCCCACAGGAATTCCCAATCCTAGTCCTGGCTCTCTGGGTCTCTGGAGGACGGGAAGGGTGTCCCAGAGCAATTAGGGAATGGTGTCCCAGAGCAATTAGGGAATGGTGTCCCAGAGCAATTAGGGAGCTGTCAGCTGATTGATCCCTTGGGGGGTCATCACGGGCTGCTTGGCAAAGATTCCTCCGGGATTAATGAGGGACATCCCTCCTGGATCCCTCCTGGAATGGTGTGGATGGAAGAAAACCTCCCCGGGACGCTCCTGGATTGGGGGAGGAGGGGGCAGGGAGGACCCAGAGCCTTGGGGTGTCAGATCATGCCCTCAGGAGGCGTGTTTTGGGTGGAGATTGTCCCCCGTGGAATGTTTTCTCCCGGATAACACCCCGTGGGTGTGGAATCGTGGAATGGTTTGGGTGGGAAGGGACCTCAAAGCTCATCCCATTCCATGGGCAGGGACAATTCCCGCTGTCCCAGGGGATCCAACCCGGCCTGGGACACTGCAGGGATCATCCAGGGGCAGCCACAGCTCCCCTGGGAATTCCAGCCCAGCCGGGAATCCCTTCCCAATCTCCCCTTTCCCAGTGGGAAGCCATTCCCTGTGTCCTTCCAGGCATTGCAGGCCCTGATCCCAAATCCCTCTCCAGCTCTCCTGGAGCCCCTG